ACCTGTGTGTATGTGTGCACTGTGTGTATGTGGGTGCACCTGTGTGTATGTGTGCATGTGTGTATGTGGGTGTACCTGTGTGTATGTGTGTATGTGGGTGTACCTGTGTGTATGTGTGCATGTGTTCGTGTGTGCACGTGTGTCCGTGTGTGCTCGCGCCTGCGTGTTGTAGAGCTGCTGCGCCCTTCAGTCCCTGCATTATCAGTTCGTCCTCCTGATGAGGGGACGTGTGCTGTGAACGCCTGGAATCAATAAGCCTGAGAAGCTTTGCTTGTTTTTCAGCCTCTGTGCAGTGTTAAGCTCTGCTTCCTCTGTTCTGAAAAGCCCCTGAAGTCCTTCTCTAAAACTTTACAATGCCAGTTTTGATAAGAAATCTTTAGCTGGAGCTGCCATGGGTTGGCCAACAATGAGTTTGCCAGAGAGTAAGGGATTAGGGAATTCCAATGAAGTCCTTCTGCTGCTAAGATAATAACACAGCAGGTTACACCTGAAGAAATCTCAGTGCCTTCCCATGTGAAGATGGAAGCACAGAGTTGTTTGGGCCCCAACTGAAGTTAATCCACCTAAAATGTCTGCAGGTGTAGGGCTTATGTCACTGGTTCTGCTGTCTCTGTCTTGTCAGGATGCCATTCCCAAGGCATTGGGGTGTCAGCTCTTATTTTAAACATTAATTTTAGTCTCCATTTATTTATATCTTCTAGCCAGCTGTCGGGGAGTCCAGTCACGTTTTAAACACTATTTTTATTCACAGTATTTTATTTTTCCCCCCAGAAGTAGTGACTAGTGTTGCATTGGTTCTGAAAACCAGAATGGTAGTTCTGAAGTTGAAGCTCTCTAATCAGCTATTGAAAAGCTGCTCTTAATTCAGAAGTTACATCAAGCCAGGAAGACTCCATTTGGGTAGAATAACTACAGGCAAAGAAAAGTCCAGCTACTCAGCTAATCATCAGCTCGTCTACTTTGGGCCTTTCTGCATTGTCTATCTGCCCACTTTTTCATCTTTCATTAAACTGTCCTGGCAATGCCATATTTCTAATTAGTGGAGTGGAAAAACTTATCTCCAAAGGTCCTAGTTGAAAGGAAACTATTGGTGTAGCCTACCAGGGGCAAAACCCACGTGAGGAAGATTTTAGAGGCTTTTCCATTGATTCTATCTTTCCTCTTTCCATACGCAAATTTCTACTCAGACGTCTAAAAAACAACTCTACAAAACACAAGTAGCAGAAAGTACTGATCCCCACTGGATTTTTATGTTCCTAAGATGTTTGGGTACCAAAAAAAGTATTCTCCCTTCATTATATGAATCAGGCAGATTCAGAGTGTTACAAGAAGATAATTTTGCAAGGTCTGACAATTAAATTTGTGAACCCATCCTAGCAAAAGTGTTTTGAAGGGTGGACTTGGGTACTCTCAGACTTTGAAGGTGACCATAGTGAGGTTCAGCAATGACACTTTTTTCTAGGACGAGCTTGCAGACTTCGTTGTTTGACCTTTGTATATTGTGCATGGTGGTGTAGGGCGGGGGGAATTCCTGATGCTGCGTGAATGATCAGTTCACAGCAATCTATGGAAATTTCGTAACAGGAGAGATACCAGAAGGAGCAGGACAAGCTGAAAGAAGAATGGGAAAAGGCCCAGAGGGAAGTAGAAGAGGAAGAACGCAGATACTACGAGGAGGTGGGAGATTCCCAGAAGGAATCTGGGCTGGTCCCAGCCCGTGTGTGTGGCTCGTGTGTGCCTGTGGCTGTGTCTTACTTTTTAGTCATAGCAGAGTCCCATCAACCCCTTTCAAACGCTCATCATATGTGGTCAAATAAAGACCACAATCCCCCCCCTCCAAAAAATGGTTTGGAGTAGGGTGAGTTGAGTCACAGTCAGGGGAGGGATTCAACTATATCTGTTCTCTAGTCAGTGAATCAAATTTGTGATTTAGCTTCAAAAGATAACATAAAGGGATCACTTCATTTATTTGTGTGTCTGTTAGTTGTTTGGTCATAGCGAGTTCATTTCATGAGGGTAATTTTGATACTGAGGCTGAATGAATGTATCCTTACTGCTGCCTTTACCGCAGAGGACTAAAGCGATTTGGAGGGGAAGAGAAACTTGTTTTAGTTCATTTTGTTGTTTTAAATGAACAAGCCAGAACACATGAGAGGATTGAAAGGGGGCTACGTTTTATGTAGATGAGCTAAAATTTGTCCGTGATTAATATTGTTGTGAATTTCCTCTTCAACAACAATCCGAGTGCATAATCAGATCCCTGGTGGCGTTTGTAATTAGCCCTCTTGCATCATCCTCGCTGATTCATCTGCAAAGACTTTGTGTTTCTAAATTAAATGCTAATTTCTAAATTATTGCCCATGGAGAGTATTACATGATTTGCGTGCTTTTGGAAAATAAGACTTATTTTTTTATGCCCTGCTTATTTGCACATATTGTAATTTTTCCCCCCTAAACTCTTGACAAATATGAGTTTTCATTTTCCCCCTTGTTGATTCTTAGGAACGAAAAATAATTGAAGACACTGTGGTTCCATTTACCATTTCTTCAAGCTCTGCAGACCAGCTGTCCACATCCTCCTCCGTGACTGATAGCAGTGGGGCCATGGTGAGACCATTAATTAAAAGCAATTGTTTTTTTCAAAAATACAATGCGGCTGTTTTATTTATTTATTTATTGAGACAGAATCTCATTTTGTTGCCCTCGGTAATGCTCTTTCATAGCTCACAGCAACCTCAAACTCTTGGGCTGAAGCCATTCTCTTGCTTCAGTCTCTCAAGTAGCTGGGACCTCAGGCGCCCTCCACAATGCCCCGCTATTTGTAGAGACAGTGTCTCACTCTTGCTCAGGTTGGTGTCGAACACATGAACTCAGGCAGTTCACCCACCTGGGCCTCCCAAAGTACTAGGATTCTAGGCACGAGCCACTGCACCCAGCCAAAAGCAATTTTTAAAATAAACCTGAAGAGAAGTACAAAGTCACAAGGCCAAGTTTTACCATCAGACTCAATAGTTTATATCTGAGACCACTGTTTCCCTAGACCCGTGTCGGCTTCCACGTGGCCATTGCGCCTCATGGTACTGTACTTCCTGAGAATCAGTAGAGTCATTACTCTGGCCAGATCTCTCCCCATAGACTGTCAGCCACAGCTCCTCCACACCTGGCTGGTAGGAGCTCAGTGAGGCCATCTGCTGGAATGTCCTTCTCACTGCCCGGCTCCCGATTGTTTATTTATTCAGTAGACACTTGTTCCTCTGTGCCGTCCCATATAGTCCTTTGCATGGTTTGGCAGCAGCAGCAATGCCAGAAATATGTTCTCTACCAGCCTCTGGCAAAGTTACTTCTAACCCCCAACTTGAGGGCTGAAGAGCATCTAAAAGGCTGGTCTCCCTCCACACCTCCCAGGTAAGGCTGTGGAGGTACTGGACAGAAGTCCTGTGAGGACCCAGGACTGTAATCTGTATGAAATAACATAACCCTATGATCTAGGAAAACTTTTGTCCTGAAATTAGTGGTTCTGTGACTTTGTTTTCTTTTTAAAGGGAGGGGGAGAGTCTAACCAATTCCTCTTTATAACAACTTTTGAGACAGGACCTGATTATACATTTACTCCAAATAGTTTAGAGTCAATTGCCGTTCAGTTAATTGGGACTATTCTTTAAATTGCAGGCAAAGAGATTGAAAAATACTTTAAATACCCTATGGCCAGAGATTTGTGTCATACAGTGTGTTTAAAATTTATATTTAACATTATCCTTGTTTTTCACCTTAGAATAAGATAGACTTGGAAAACTGTCAAGAGGAAAAACAAGAGAAAAGACAGAAGAAACCATTCCAGGAGGATGGCAGTGACTTATTGCCTAAGACCGGGGAAAGTGATTCACTGGAGGAGAAGGGCAGGTAGGAGCTTGTACCAGGCTGTCCATGAAAATTTACAGAGCTGTGCTCTGCGTGTTCCCTCCCGGGAAGGGTACCCATTGCTAATGCAAATTAGCTTTGAAAGGATCATTCCAGTAATACATTACATACTGCTTGGACATGTTGTAATAGCTCTGAAGTCAGCGTCATTATGCTCTTGAATATAAATAGCCTTATTTTTAAATAGGCAAAACCTTTTTCAAGTAAGGGGGGATGATATTGATCATCGAGAGAGTGTGCTGTCCATTCAGAGCCCCAACCCCAAATGTAACTCACTTGAAATGATGAATGTGACTGGAGGGATAAGATGTTGAAATGAGGCCCTGGGGTCCCAGTGACCTTGGCCTTTAGTATCCCCTAAGCTATGAGAAGCCACTCATAGTTTACTCTAGTGATGATATAAAGCAGGTGTCCTCAAACTGCAACCCATTGGCCACATACGGCCCGCCTAGGACATTTATCCAGCCTGCCGGGTGTTTTTGCCGCCACTGCCTGTCCTGCGTAGCAGCCAACTCATCTCGGGGCCTGCAGTCTGGCCCTCCAACGGTCTGAGGGACAGTGAACTGGCCCCCTGTTTAAAAAGTTTGAGGACCCCTGATATAAAGGATAACAAACTGATCAATCGGGTGTGGGTTATCTCCCCACCCACGGGCTCCATATGTGCCATGGGAAATTAGAAAAAGACAGCTAGCGACCCCTGGAACACTCAAAGCCAACTCAGATGGAGCAGACTCTGCTTGTGGCTGTGGGATACAGTGGGATTATTGATGTCCCCACACACACCTAACCTAGAAGACTTGCAGGAACCCAGTAGGCTGGCAGTGCCCTGCCGTCAGCATGTTCTTCATGAGATGGATGTTTGCCTCTGGGGCTCCAGAGAGCAGGGAGGTACTGGCGATAGTGTACGCGGGTGCACAAGCACACAGCACCCCCAGAGGGACCTGAAGACAGGAATAGCTATCTAACTGTCATTTTCCAACACTGACGGATTTCAGAGGTCGGCTGGGAGCTGAGCTCTGCTGCTGAGGTTTTGCTCTGAGCATGCTCCTGTGCTTATCAGCAAAAAGACCAGGAGAACTGTGGGCTGTAGGAGCTCGCTCAGGACCTGTGTCCAGAGACTACAGAGCCCTTGACGGAGCACATCTGTTTCCAGTCAATACTGTTTAAAGGGACTTGTCAGTTTTGTGAAATGAAAACCCCTGGTCAGGAAGATTTGACTAATGCTGATAAGCATGCTACGTGAACTTGTGCTGGTTCTCCAGACGGTGTCCCTGTTGCCACCAGAAACTGTCCTTTTATCTCCTTCATCTCGCCTTGCCTAGAGAAGCCACCAAAAGGCCAGAGAATTACCATGGACGGCAAAGGTCCTGCATGGCCCAAATAATTTCTATAATAAGTCCTCTCTTGTGAAAATCTGGAGGATTCTAGGTAGCTCTGGCATCCCTTGAAATTATTAGAGTGAATGGCTTTGTGGACAGGGAGGTCATCAGAAATGATAGTTTGTTGCACTTGTTAAATCGACAGACAATAAAAATGTGTAATATGTTATCAATTTAAGTCCATTTCAAATCTAGTTTAAAATAAGAAAAATGAACAATCCCATCTCTTTCTCCATATTTAGTTGGTACTTCCATGAACTAAGGGATAGAGCTGGTAAGTTCAGTCCGGTTGCTTTTATCTCCGTTCTGAAATATATTTCTTTATTTTAACAGCCTAATGCAAGGGGCTTTGGCTCATTCTGAGAACCCCAGGTCCACGGGAGTCCATCAGGAGCATCAGCTGAATACAGAGGCCGGGGCCTCGCACTGTGGGTTGAACCCACAGCTAGCTCAGGGTAAGAATGGAGAGGACCCACTTCAATGTTTAAGTTGTTGTAAGACCCCCTCATTATCCAGACAGATATGATCCCTGCTGACTGCAAGCTTCTCTCCAAGGAGGCTCGACTCCTTTGCTAAATGTATAGGGGATAAACTCCCACCACCCCGTGCCAGACTGTGTGAACCCCCTGGGGACCCAGTGAGGCCTGAGCAGGTACTATGTAATAGCACTTTTTAAAAAGGTTAAGTTCACAGAAACCTTCATAAGCAGTGTGTTTGAGACATCTTCAAGTTTTCCAGTTATACTACTGGAGGTAATCGCCCCATCAAATGTCTATGGAAGAATAAAATCCATAGAGCTGGGTTGAGATATGGGTGCTGGGAGATTGGGAAGGTCCCATCAGCTACCACTACCATGCCACCCTCTTTCCCACCTGCGTCCCCACTCCCCAGGCTCACCACAACTAAACTCCAATATATTCCTCACCAAATCAAATTCTGATCAAATTCTACCTGCAAGGGCTCTTGAGGATCATGCTAGATCATTGAAACTTCAAATGTTGAATTTTATAAAGAGGAGGTCTGAATTAAGAGAACAAAAGGTGACCACGAAAAAAGCAAATTTGGCTGAGCAGACAAGCAGGTTTTAATGGTAGAGTCATTGACTTTGGCCTTGTGTTTTTGGCGTGTTGTCTGTACATAGAGTAACACAGGGTTGATTATAACACGTCAGCACTGATGCGTGTGTGGTCTCATACACAGATATCCTGCGAGCTGAATGTGATTTGGGTGCCCTGTGGATTTAAACCACATCACAGGTGATGGAATCCATGGGTCAGAGAAGGCAGTGGGTGTTTACTGTGTTTTAGTAATTATTTTCAGGTTATAATTGCATCCACCCAAATTTGCTTTATTTAAGCATAGAAAGCCAGTATTTTTAAGTTTTGTTATTATTACATCAGAAGTCAGTGAGGCAAAAGGCTCTGGTGCCCAGTCTCCTTTGTTTTCAGAACTAATTCACAGCATAGTGAATCAGAGGCCTCAGCAAGTAGCACTTCAAAGAAAGGTGACTTCCTTGTCACCAAGGTGACTCTTCTGAGCGCTAACTTCCTGTTCTTTTCTTGGCTCAGATCCATCCCAAAATCAGCAGGTCTCAAACCCAGCAGGACCCTCTGCAGAGGAGATGAAGCCAAAATCCCTCCCACTAGGCAAAAGCATTAACCATCAGATGGAGTCCCCGAGTGAAAGGCGGAAGTGAGTAACCGAACAAGATGGATGTGGGATTCCTTTTTTTTTTTGCAGGTTTTGGCTGGGACCAGGTTTAAACCCGCCACTCTGGTGTATGGGGCCGGCGCCCCACTCCTTTGAGCCACAGGCACCTCCCGATGCAGAATTCTTTTTTATTCCTTTGAATTTACTGACTTGGAAGGGGGAAAATGAAAAAGTGTATGATAGCAAGACGTCAGCTGCTTTTCTTGGGTTTCCTCTCTGCCTAATCCCATTGACAAGCTAACAAATATTTATGGAAGTCAGCAATAGTCTTCCTGGCGAGTAAATAGTCACTCTGAACATATTGATTTGTAAGAGACAACGTTATGTTTGTAACTCACAAATCTAAACATTGGAAAAAGTATGCAGGCCTGTTGCATTAGTAATTTACTTAAGTGAGTTAAATTGTCTTGGAGTATAGACAGTGTTCTTTCAAGGAAAAAAAATTTTATTCTATCTTCTTCTCCAATCAAGGCAGCTACGCTAGGTTTCATTCTAATTTGGTAAGAATGGGGTTCTTTTTAACAATAATATTTGTTTCTCTTATTTTTAACCATTTCAATATAATAGGCATTATCGCAAACAATTTACATGTATTTCTCTCTTCTTCTTGGCAGTGCCTGTAGCTCAGTGGGTAGGGTGCCGGCCATATGCACTGAGGCTGGTGGGTTCGAACCCGGCCCGGGCCTGTCAAAACAACAACTGCAACAAAAAAATATCTGGGCATTCTGGCGGGTAGTCTGTAGCCTCTTGGGAGGCTGAGGCAAGAGAATGGTTTAAGCCTAAGAGTTTGAGGTTGCTGTGAGCTGTGACTCCATGGCACTCTACCCAGGGCAACAGTTTGAGAGTCTGTCTCAAAAATAAATAAAGAAATAAAGAAATACCTTGACTTGCTGAACATTCTCACTAACTTCACCAGTTGTTCTCCCCATTTTACAGGTGAGGAAATTGAGGAAGTTAAATAACTTACCCAAAGTATTTGATTGGTTAAGTGATTGAGGAATTCAAAATGAACCCACAGTTTTACTTAAGATCCCATTTGAGCCAGAGGTTCCTGTAATCACAGTAACGTGCATTAGATTGCAACCAATCGTTCAACCTAGAGCCAGGTCCCATCCATCCAGATTTGATAGGATTTTGAACAAATTACTTAATCTTTTCTCTGCCTGCATTGTCTCATCTATAAAATGGGAAGGATAACAGTACCTAACTATAACCCTAACAGTAGGGTTCCATGCCTGGTTAATGGTAAGAAAGAGATCGCGATGATTTTAACTCATGTTATAAAAGAAAAATGTTCATTTTTTGCCTTATTTTCCTTGTTACATTTTCCTTTTCCTCAATACAGTGTTTGAGCCATTTCCTCCTTTTCCCTTATGTCCGTCCTGTTTTCGTTTCTATATGAAATGAATGTCTGTGTGACACTCAGAATCAGTAGAAGATAAAATCGCATACAAGTAATTGCTACTGTTATTGATTATGGCAGCGATTTTCAACCTTTGTTAAGCACTGGTGCTTGTACTTTAAGGGATTACATAAAAATGTGGTATTTTGGAGAAGAGGACCCCTGCCTGGGGAGGGAGGTTTCCGCGGGCAGCGGCTCAGGGGGTGATGCCGGACACAGAAGGCGATGGACTCACGCTCTGTTCACATCTGTCTTGCTGTTTTTCTTTCCCTTGCTCTTTTCTTCGTCCTACCCCTTTCTTTACAAATGAAATTAACTTTAAAAGCGAGAGCCAAAACCTGACCGCTCACTCCCAGCAGGGCTCACATACAACCATTCTGCTGGCTTCTGGCTGGGAACCGTTCTGAATCATCGGTGCCCCGTGACATAGCACTTGTGACATATTTTGAACACCACCCTTCCTCATACGTACCCGTAATGAATTTGTTGATAAGGGTTGAGCCCACCCCGCTGAAAATACCTTCTTTAAGTCTGCCCTTTAGTGCTGGGCTCTAAAAATTAGAACAATATTCTAATAATATTTTTCCAATATTATTAGACCCAAGCCAGTGTTGGTTGTATGCAGCCAATGCAAATTTAATTCTTGCTAATTATTACAACGTTTGTTCTTTAAAAAAAGCTATTACTAGGAGCCCCCGTGGTCTTTGGTGTGGTTGTCAAGGGAGGTTTTTATCTGATCTAAAACGTCATTTCTTAAGGAGTTGGGCTTCTCTTCACTTGTTATAATTTCTGGCTCCTTTACCGTGTTACAGGAGAAGCCCCAGAGGGAACTTCCAGGCTGGGCCCTTGTCCCCGTGTTCCCCCACCCCTCCTGGCCAGTCACCAAACAGGTACAAGAGGTCAGCAAGCCTTCCCGGGCTGCTCGGATCTGACTGGAGTTCACCAGGCATCAGTTTGCATTTGTCTTCACCAGATCATTTTGAGGGATTTTTTAATCCACATCTCTCCCAGCACACACACACACACACACACACACACACAACACACACAGACACACACACAACACAGAGACACACAACACACAGAGACACACACACACACACAAAACACAGAGACACACATACAACACACACAGACACACAACACACACAGACACACACAACACACAACACACACCACATACACACACAACACACACACAACACACACACACAGAGGCAGGACAGAGAACATTCCCCATCTGCCTGCAAATGTATCAGCCTGCAAGAGAAAAACTCAAGCCTGTGACGCTGCACGGCTGTGGCCACAGGGCTTTAATTACATCGTGTGGAAGCTCCAACCTAATAACAAAATCCACCAGACAATCGCTGGGCTCCAAAGCTGGCGCCTTTCCCTCCACGCCGGCTCAGCCCTGCGAGGCAGGAGTCGCCAAGGGCTCTTCCAGAGAACCAGGCGGAGGCTGAGAAATGAAACTTCATCCTTGTCTTTTAACCACGCCGGCTCTCTAACGATCGCTTCTGGACATTAACTGAGCCCCTTGATATTCCTAAAAGCGGCCTGAATTTCCATTCAGCCGAGCAGCAACTTACTGAGTGCTCGGCTGTTTTCTCTGATGTAGAAATTTCATTTAACTACTGGGTCAGAGGGAATCCTAATAAATAGGGTTCGATGAGGGCAACTCTTCCTCTTTTCAAAGGGATTCCTTAGTTTCTTCTGCCCCTCTGTACTCTGTTGGCTTTCAAATGAGATTGTATGTTTTTAAATTTCTTGTGGAGTCCAGGAGCTTCTCAGACAGCACACATCATTGCAACGTGGTTGGTCTTCAGGGGACAGACTTCCGACCCAGTCTTTTGGTTTGCTGGCTCCATACTGAGGCTGCCCAGGGACAGAGAGGAGGTAGACACAGCCTGGCCCTCCAAGGGCTTACCACTTAGAGACCAGGCAAGTGTCCACCTTAGATCCACAGAACGTCTGCCCTGGGAGAGGTCATGGAGACATCTAGTCCAAACCTCTCATGTCGGAGGTGAAAGGGAGCCCAAAGTGAGTTCATGACATCAGACCACAGAAGTAGTGACAGAGCTGAGATCAGGGGCCCTCTGCCTGGTACCTGTTCTGCTATAACCCAGTGGACTCTATTTTTAAGTAAAAATGATTTCTTTCTTTCTTTCCTTTTTTTTTAAAAAGACAGAGACTCACTCTGTCACCCTAGGTAGAGTGCTGTCTTGTCATAGCTCACAGCAACCTCAAAGTCTTGGGTTCAGGCGATTATCTTGCCTCAGTCTCCTGAGTAGCTGGGACTACAGGTACCTGACTCAATACCCAGCTAGTTTTTCTATTTTTAGTAGAGATGGGCTCTCAGCTTGCTCAGGATGGTCTCGATCTCCACACCCACCTCAGCCTCCCAGAATGATGGGATTATAGCCGTGAGCCAGCACACCTGACCCATTTTTCTTAAAAAATAAAAAGAAACACCCTCGTAGGCCAATGGACCAATTATGGAAAGTTTTAAGGCAACATTGAAGCTGTAGCAAAGCTAGCTCAGTTATCTTTTAGAAGTTAAGAAAACATATAATACATGTATTGAATCATTCTAAGGAGTTTGAACAGACTGTAACACAAACTTCTTGCAAGAAAAAGCTTTCACACACACCCCCAGAGTCTACACCACAGTACAACTCCACTGTATTCTATTCCACTGTCTGGTCATTGTTTACAAGTCACAGCAAATGCTCCCTTCCCTATTCATTGCTGGTTTAGTAATCCTCCTTTCATTCATTACATAAGCACCTTTTAATCCATGTTTTCATTTTTGCATGAGGTTGCATGTCTGTGTGTTTGACCGAGTCTTCTAAACTGAAATTCTTATTGTTACGTGTGTTTCTGAACTAGGTCCATAAGTGGGAAGAAGCTGTGTTCCTCCTGTGGGCTTCCTTTGGGGAAAGGAGCTGCGATGATCATTGAGACTCTCAATCTCTATTTTCACATCCAGTGTTTTAGAGTACGTACGCGCCACTCTTCTCACTAAGTACAGTCTTGTCGTGTCTTTTGGCCAGAAATGCCTCCTGGAGGTCCCAGAGCTCCTTCCTGTGAGGCCCCCCTGCTCTGGTTGGATCATGGTTGGACATGTGGGTCCAACCTCAGGTCCTTCTGGGCTAGAGGAAGAACACACGTTTGTGCCATGTGTCTTTACAAAGCAGTGTTTGCGATATTGGGAGAATGAGCTCGTGGAGCCACGTGGATTTATTTGGAATATAATATCGTTGCTGCTGCTTTAATTCTTGTGACTTAATGTCAAAGGGTTTTAGTCTTTGACCTAATGGAAAAATTTCTGTCAATTAAATGGTTATAGCTAGATGCAAAATCATAGGTCTCAGAATGAATATGTCTGCAATATCAGATTAAATATCATTCCCTCTGAGAAGCTGCCCTGCTCACCCAGACTAAGCAGCTGCCTTCCGTATAGGCCTGTATGGACTTTCTATGGTCCTTCCCTCATTATTGAATTAATTATCATCTCCTATAATAAACCGTAAACTCCACAGGGCAGGGACCATGTCTGTATCTAAGACAGGTGATGTCAGTAAATATTTTTAGATGAATCAATTAATGAATAAACTGAAAATGACAGAGCCCAGATTCTAGTTTCAAATCTCCAGCTAATAAGTAGGTGAACTAACCAGTTATGCCTGATGGATTACAAAATTTATAAGTGGACTAGGCCAGCACATTCTGTCCTTTTTTTCTACTCGTGGACACATTTCAAATTAATATATAATCTTTAAATCTAAACCTTCTAGCTCTGAAAAGTTATTTCTTTCCCTGCATAACCCTGACATGCTTTCTTAAATTTTGAATTTCATTCTATATCTTCTTGGATGCCTCCTGGGCTTGAAAACAAATTTGCATGAGTTCAAAATAATTCCCACTTTACCTATAAGCTGAGAGAAAGTCAGTGAAGTTGTCGCCAAATTACTAATTTAGTAATACGAGTAATCACTTGAAAACAAGACTTATTGGACAACATAGAAATGTGGATACTTATTTTAGACTTTATTGGTCAAAAATATTATTTATTTATTTCTATAGAGAACCATTCCACAAAGGGTAAGCAAATATATTTTTGTTGTAAAATTTAAACAGTGTATGGCCTGAGTATCTTGAGGGTGAAGGAATTATATCTTAAAAATTTTTATGGTTATGCCAATACTACATTTTGTTCTCAGAAACTTTACCAGAGCTATAAATAATCAAGGTGGCAAAGAATCTTTATAGATTTTCAAGGAATCGGAGATCTGCCTTCTTAGCGTCAAAGGCCTTTATTCTAATCATTCACTTCCTGGAACTGGCCTGATGCTTGTAGATTTATCCCCTACCTCTGCAATATAGATGTAACATGGTTTGAATGAAGCCTCCTGTGCCCCATGTGGTCTTAGAGCCTGAGTCAGGGGTGGGTCTGGATCCCCCTGCAAGAGGCTGGCCCTGGATCTATCTGCATGGCTGTCTTCTTCTGGTACAAAGAGCAAAGTGCATCCCACAGTCTCCATCTGCACTTGGGCTATCTTGGCAGAAAGCAGGTCCAATCCCAGTGGATTTGTTACTCTGGGTATCTCTGCCTTTAATGTGGAAATGTAAAGTGGAATAGCTATTTCCTAGAAATTGTGATTTGGTAGAATGTAGCAACAGTGCTGGAAAGCTTTTAAACAGTGGTTCTCAACCTTCCTAATGCCACAGCCCTTTAATACAGTTCCTGTGGGTCGCGACCCACAGGTTAAAAACTGCTGCTTTAAAGATTATTAGTGAGCAACTTTCAATTGATAATTCATTGGCCATGTGTCTGTTTAAAGCCACTGAAGTTTAATCTGTTTAAAATTGTTCTTCCATCTTGGTTAAGAAATGGCATATTATACAGTTAGGACGAGAGGTTTTGGAGTCACCCTGATACTACTTACCAGCTGCACAACCTTTGGACTAGTCAACTAACCTCTCTGAACCAGTTTCCTTCTCTTTAAAATGCAAGGAATTAAGATCAAATGCTCAAAGTAGATTTACTCTCACTGTAAGTTAACACTGGCATAGCATCTAACACGTACTAGATACTCAACGAATGTGGAGATTGTAGAAATAATTATTGTTGTATTCACGTAAACAGTAACTGTGCGTTATAAAGAAACAATTCCTCACTCATCATTTAACATCTGCTCTTTTTACTCTCTAGTGTGGAATTTGTAAAGGACAGCTTGGAGATGCAGTGAGTGGGACCGACGTTAGGATTCGAAATGGTCTTCTAAACTGTAATGATTGCTACATGCGATCCAGAAGTAAGTACCTGGGAGAATATCTCACGAGCCTGTCAGAGGACCCGGTTTAGGAGTTCAAGTATTTTTCCTTATCAGGCGACATTCTACCCTAAGAGAACAGTTTCCAAATATCTGGGGCAAGAGGTGACAATGAAACAGCCCTTTGTTGCCCACTTGTTTCTTATCAGAAATTACTGCCTCAGTGGGGACAAATTCTTTTTATCCAGAAGTACAGCAACACTCCAGCAGGTAAAAACTGTAGACCAAGTTTGGGACATCACCTGAAGTCACCCTGGAGATTTTGGTGAGGTAGCAGAAGATAGAAGGCCCTTGAGAGGGGCTCCCGCCGCTGACCAGGTCACCTAGAGAGGGGCTCCCGCCGCTGACCAGGTCACCTTGAGAGGGGCTCCCGCCGCTGCCCAGGTCACCTTGAGAGGGGCTCCCGCCGCTGCCCAGGTCACCTTGAGAGGGGCTCCCGCTGCTGCCCAGGTCAAGCGCCAACTCCTCAGTGTCCACAGGTCCTACTCAGGAGTCTCAGTACATGGTTGTATTTGAACTGAATCAAAAGTTTCTTGAGAGACAAAATAATGGGTTCTACTTCCCCATGAAATCTTCCCAACTCCCACCCCCACAGTACCTTAGCATAATAATATTAAAAGTTCAAAAACTATTTGCTGTCTATCTGGGTCTCCTAAAGTAGAAGGTTCATGTTGGTTTGGGGGCGCTAGGGGGTGCTGTTGCCTAGCTGCTGTTTGGAAAATCTGGAAACAGCGGTGACTGGCCTCTTGAGTCTAATCTTGGTCTCCATCATTAAGTACAGTCTTTTTGGTGGACTTCTAGACAGAAGATCCTCTGAATTCATCAGTCAAGAAACTCTTTAAAAAACATTTAGAGTGAAAATTATGGGGTTCAAAATTCAAGAATGTTTTATTATTTCTCTAAGTAAGTGAGGTGAGTTTTTTTGTTTATTTCAGATTAATATGAAGGTACAGACGATTAGGTTACATTGTTTCCGCTTGTTAGGCAGAGTCCAAGTTGCAGTTGTGCCCCTCGCCCGGGAGGGGTGCCCCATACCCTGACATTGTGCCCATTAGGTGAGATCACACCCATCCCCTCCCGCCCCACCTCTCCCTCCTCTCCCCTCTCCTCACCCCAACCTGAGTTTGTGTTTTTCTCGTGTGTCATTGTGTATTTGTTGGTCCGCTGTCCCATCTTAGCACTGGATTAGTGCTGGATATTTACTTTTCCATCCCTGTGACGCTTTACTAAGTAGAATGTTCTCTGCTTCCATCCAGGTTAATACAAAAATGGAGTCACCCTCTTCTTTTGTGTTTTCGGCCTTTAAATGGGTCTCAAAGCTGTAAAACTTTAAGAATAAGAATTTAAACGACTTTGTTGTATAACACTAGATTTAGTAAACTCAGATAAATATATGCCTATTAATAAAACGATAGGAAATAAAATCAAACCCAGGTGGTTTTAGGTCTATGATAAATGTTTGACCTGAGGTCGAAACAGTTCCAACTTAGAGCTGCTGCCAAAAAACTCGACTACTTATTCCATGTATTATAAGTAATAATTTTTAATACCAGTTTTTATATGCTGACATTAAAATATGCATAAATAGTATATGTATATCATAAACATATATATACACATGCAAATATATTCATATGTAGCACTTAATTATATACATATTCTTTAAACTAGATCTTTGTTTATTTTGTCTTATTTTTACACACTAGAAAGGAAAACGAAAACCTTTTATACTAGATTTCAAAATGATTTTTCTTATCTTCTATAAATTATACTTTTTCTCACCCTCAAAAGAACCAGCTGAATGTGGTGGACAGAACCAGCAGAGGGCACTCTTAGGCTGAAGGACTGTTGAGAAAGACTTGGAAAGTGCTGTAAATCTGAATTTCTTTCACAGTTTAAAGAACTTGAAGAATGCCAACAGAGCGGAACCCTGAACCTATCTGAGGGTGACAGTGACCTGTTTTCATCCATATCTTTTTTTAATTGAGAAGTTGGTGATTCATTGTCTGGAAATTAGCTTTTTGGATCTAGGCCAGCAATTGTTCTCTTCTGCTCACAAATAGAAAGGGCATTAACTGCTTTTTAACCTAAATAAAGAGAAACCATGGAGTTCCTATAAGGATGAAAAATAAGAAAGTGATCTGGAGGTAGTCTACGGATATGAGTTTTTGTTCATTTATGTTACATTTTAAATGCAATATTTTACTAAGTTTTTTTGGAATACTAAGAAATACGAAGAAAAAAGCAAAAAGGTTCCTCATCTTTCTGCCTAGATAACTCTATAAATAATCAAAGAAGACATGATGAAAGTTCTAAATAGGACGAACAGGATTAGAAAAATTGAACTGTTCAGACAATTCAAAGTTTTTTTGAATACCAAAGACATTGAAAAAAACCCAAAGATACCAAATTAAAGGTAAAAATCTCAAAGTTGACAACTGTGATCACTTTCTAATAATGTCTTGGAGGGAGGGGCAGAATGCACATGTTTGTCTGTGTGCACACACACTTGCACACATGCATACACAGATACACGTGTGTATGGTGTAGCTACCTGGATCTGTGTGTGTTTTTATTTCATGAGGGTGATAATCACAATGTTGCATGCTGATTTTTAACTCAATGATAGATCTTGGCCATCCTTCCAAATAGCATATTGTTTTTCCTCACTCTTTTTAATGGGTTTGTTTTTTTTTTTTTTGGAGACATAGAGTCTCACTTTGTTGCCTTTGGTAGAGTGCCTTGGCATCATAGCTCACAGCAACCTCAAACTCTTGAGCTCAAGCGATTCTCTTGCCTCAGTTTCCTAAGTAGCTGGGACTACAGGCACCTGCCACAGTGCCCGGATATTTTTAGAGACAGCGTCTCACTCTTGTTCAGGCTGGTCTCAAACTCGTGAGCTTAGGTGATCCACCTGCCTTGGCCTCCCAGACTGCTAGGATTATAGGCGTGAGCCACCTCACCCAGCCCTTTTAAAATGGTTTTTTAATAGCCGCATACAGTCCCATTGTATGGACTTACAATAATTTAAAATGCACTAATGCTCCGGGAATGGACACTTTGGTTGTTTCCAATTTTTTAATATTATTTTTTAAATGCTCCAGTGAACATCCTTGTATATAAATCTTGATGAGCATTTGAAAGTATCTCCATAGAATAGATTCTGAGCAGTAGCACCGCTCAATTAAAAGGCTTGGACTTTCAAAATTTTCAGCCATCTTGCCTAGTTACAGTTCAGAAGCGTGTACTCTCCCTGCAAAATGTATGAGACGGGCCCTTTCTTCCCCCAAGCCTAACTCATCTCTGGCTATCATCAAATGTTAAAAATTTCCACTCCTGCTAGGTGGGGAGAAAACCTCATTGCTTTGATCTGTATTTCTTTAATGATGAGTTTGAATATCTTTTCATATGTTTGTTCACCATTTATATTTCTTTTTCTATAAAGTGCTTCTCTATCTTTCCCTATGTTTTTATTGGCACGTGGTTTGTGTTAATAAGAAAGTGATCTGGAGGCAGTCTACGGACTACCGTCGACTGCCAATTAAACAAAGGTGTTCACCCTCTGTTATATTTTCTGCCTATCACAGCTATTGGTTTTTCCACTTTGTGAAAAAAAGTGGAAAATCTTTTATGTGAAGAGACAGAAGATTTTCATGTTGTGCCATCAAATATATATATATATATAATTCCTTTTTGAATTCTAGATTTCTTTTAAAAACTCATTATTTCAAGGATAAATTTAGCTGAGATTTCTCCTAGAATTGTTTGTCATTCTGTCTTTCACACATAAATGTGTGATAATCAAGAATGCATTTTGAAATAAAAAACTGAGGTGTAGATATCCCAATTAGCCAATTGTGTGAATATCACTTAATGGATAATCTTTTTCCCACTAATTTAAAATGTCAGCCTTCTCCTAAACTAAATTCATGTATATAGTTATGTCTATATCTGAATATTTTGTTATGTTTTATTAACCTATTTATTTTCCATTCTTGAATGGTTTTAATTATTATAGCTTCATCATATGTTTTAATAATGGCCACTTTCTCTCCAGTTATTTTTTCCAAAATTTTCCTAACTCCTCTCATGTTTATTTTTTTCAAGTAATATAAGTATCATTTTAGGCAAATATTAATTAAGTTAACCCATGACAGATAGAATGACAACACGGCTAGGAGGACTATTCATTAGATGTTCTAAGACATAAAGATACTTTAGGAATGGGGCGGCACCTGTGGCTCAAGGAGTAGGGCGCTGGCCCCATATACCAGAGGTAGCAGGTTCAAACCCGGCCCCAGCTAAAAACTGCAAAAAAAAAAAAAAAAAAAATATATATATATATATATATATACACACACACACATACACTTCAGGAATGAATCGTAGAGGAGTAATAATTTGTCTTGAGAAGTATAAATATATACTTGAATCATTTGAATATATCCCAGGTGCAATAAAAGAGTCAGAATGGGAAGAAATTGCTAAAAACCATTTTTCTTTTCCTTTTTTTCTTAAATTTGATCTGAGTTGAGAAGAGGGGAGATGGATAGATGTGAAGGGTGGTTTACATCGTAGGCATTCTAAGTGAAACAAAATAATTTCATTTGGTGGAATAATAAAAGCTGAATATATAATCCTATTTACTCCAAGTAACTAGTCACATTTAAATGAAATTTTTCTCTTGGAGGGAAAAATGGCGTAACAGCATATTAAAATGCAATTCCTAAAAGCAATGTAAACAGTTTTTAAGATCATATGTAAATGGGAATGGAATGCAAAACAGATTACCTGTCACGCGTCAAGCCGTCACACGGTTGGCTTGTGCGGTTTGTGCTTGGGCGTTCGATGGCTATGTCTTTGTACATGGCGTTCTGTGCCACCATTCTCTCTCCTGAAATGCATTTAACACACTCTCCCCCGGGTCTTTCAAATGTTGCAATCGCCTCATCACAACTCTAGCACCTAAAAGAAAGGAGAAACCTTGTGAAGATTTCAACAGCAAAGATGGTGCCCAAACAATCCTTTCTACGTAGGATTGCCAGATAAAATACACGACACACAGTAAATGTTTTTGTTTTTTTTTTTGCCTAAATTTGAATTTCAGATGAATAATGAATTTTTTTAGTGCGTGGATGTCCCAAATATTGCATGCTCTGAATTTGGCACGAGCATGTCCCAAATACCATATGAGATTTACTCATGCAGTACTAAAATGTTAGGTGGTGTTTATCTGAAATTGAATTTGACTGGGTGTTCTGTATTTATACTTGCTAAACCTAGTGATCCTATTTCCAGATCATATGTCAAGTTCCTCCAGTTACAATGTACTTATTTTTAGAGAAATAAAACCTAAAGAAACCGAGAGAAAAGAGATTATTTTCTTGCTTATTTACCCCAGAGGACAAAGTGGAAAAGTGGGTCAGATCATTTGGTTTAGGGGAAAGGCAGAAGGTTTGATCAAACTTTACATCTGATTCACCTGGGCACCCCGTTAGGTGGGTCTGGGATGGGGCTCAGCATTCTGCATTGCTTAAAGAAAACTCCAAATGATGTCAGCCCTGCTTGTCCTTGGACCATACTTTAGTAGTAGTTTCCCCTCCCCAGGAGAAAGCGGCTTTGGTAAAGGTAATTGCTAATCTGGCACATTTTAAATTGCTAATTTTGCATGTGAAGTAAGATATGTTGACTAAACGCTGCTGTGTTTTGAATCGCAGGTGCTGGCCAGCCCACCACATTGTGACTGTGACGTCGGAGTTTCCAGATCACTCACCATTTCTTTACTGAGGTCGCCCCTGGCAGTCGCTTCACTAAATCCCAAGTTCAGGGGCTCCTTTGCATTCACCTAATTTCAGAAAGGCTGTTCTAAAAGGTGGTGTCTGTTCTTTTGTAGCACAGGGTTTGTGTTTTCCCGGGGTGGTGGTGTTTGTTTCTGCATTTGCACAGTATATACAGAAGAATATCTGGGTGAATTGACGGCGAATAGTCCAAACGTGGTTTCAGAGTGGTCAGACAGGCTTACAGGTTAAAACGTGTTATTCTTGTCTGGGAGAATTAGCTAAAGGATGCAGTAAGCCTGTTTTGTTTTAGAACTTATAGGAATTAAACACTTTATGTTTACAAAATTGAGCTGCAGAAAGTGAAAGACATGCCAATTTGAGACATGGGGTCTTCTAAGACCGGAGCATCAATTTAACGCACTCAGCACTAAGCATCACAGTGAACTGACTCTGAGCTATCACCCGTTTTTAATGCAAAGGCGCTAGTCTGGTAATATATACTGTAATCCTGAAATATTTGTGTTACTTACCTTTTGAGGTAGAAATTAGACCAATAAATTATTGCACCGTTAGTATTAGATTTTGTGTACCTTGGAAGTTATGTCATTAATACAGGCTGGTTCATCAAATAAAGAGAACCCTTGCAGGATCAGCTAGACTTATACTCTGGGACATTGCCCAAGGGCAGGAAGAAACTGGAGGGAAATATTTCAGTCATCGTCTCTAAAGTTATTACCAAAATCAGTGAGGAAGTTTAATCTTCCACAGAGTCGCGGGTCAAGGACAGCCAGGAGGCTTGTGTTTCTTTCTTCTTTCCAGGCATTAGATTAGGAGACTTAATATCAGGTGTGTGGAATGTGAGACATTGAGCTAAGTCCGTCATCAGGTGTAACCCCAGCTCAGCCTTGCCTGCAAGTTCTCCTTGAGGGCCTGAAGCACAGGTGTCCAAAGAAAAGCATCAAGGGCATCCTAACCTCGGGGCATTGGATGTGTGATCCACACGCCTGGACAGCTCAAATTGTGCCCTGCCCACCCCGACGGACACTGCTCACCTTCATTCCCCTGCGTCACCTCTATACTCCCAAGAATTCTGGACCTTGCTCGTGGAGACTTGAAGAGAGGAACTCTCCTAAAGAACTGGTTTATTTTCTGCCCAGCAAGATGAGTTTCAGCTGTCCAAGAAAGGAACAAAGTTACTAAAAATTACAATGTAGCTCTCCCAGCTGTTGGTGGGTTTTTTTTTTTAAAGACTAGAGGAAGGGGAACTATTTATTCTGCCTTAAAACGATGGCAAATAAGTCAAGATGACATTTTATGAATGTAGATGGTAGAGACCCTCCTAATAGGTTAATGTAATCATAACGAGAGATCCAGTAGAGGTTTTTGGGTTATGTAAGCAATAATTTTTTTCTCTGTCTCTTACTGAGTATGGCTAGCAATTATTTATTTACACGTTAGATGGGTTCTTTGCATGTGGGTTCCATAGGTACAGAAATTTCCTCAACTGTTGGAGGTATTTTGGCCATTTTTGTCATTTGGATGAGCTGCCATGAGATTGAAATTTACACATCATTTTATTAAAAATTGTGCCTTAGAAAATGCAAAGCTGTTGCACATAGTCAGTGATGGATTATGGACGCAGTAGAGAGACGAAGTCACTTCCAAGTCGCCAAGACTTCTCCTAAAGGTGTTCGTTGTTTTACAGGAAAAAGAAAAAAAAATTTAAAAAAAAAGAAAAAAAAATTAAAAAAAAGAAAAAAGTTTTCAAAATGTACAGATTAAGTCCCATATTTTGATTAGCCAGCTGCATGTTTTATTAAACATTTTGATAGTGTGGATGTTTACACTTGGCATGATATTAGCAGAGTACTTTACCGCAAATAATGCACAAAACATGTACAATATGGTCGTTCATAAACGATTTTTATAGAATACTTTTTACATGCGGAACTCCATCCATTATGTGAGGATTATCTGAATATTGCACATTCTCTTCTGGTTTCACAAACCCATTTATACATATTTCTTAGTGAGACTCATTGTACATGTATTGAAGCTAGAATCGAGTCAAGAAAAATAAAGCCCCATTCTCCAACTGCAAAACGTGCTTTCCCAGAACGAACACGAGTCACCAGCACGGAATAATCTCCCACATTTCCTAAATTCTAATTGCCAACTGTTTCTATTTCTATTGGATTTATATTTCATTTGGAGTCTGCTACACGGCAGCTCCGGCAGGCTTGATCTTGTTCTTCCCGGTGCAGCCTAATGAATATGATCTATTTCTTTTCAAATAATCTTTGAAATTCCCAGGAAAAAAAAAAAACTCTGCTCTGTTGAGCTATCATGTAAATGTGTTTGTTTAAAAAACTGATGAGGCAAGTGTGTGATTGATTGTTCCTGAAGAAGTACATCTGATTTTTTTTCTTATACTCCAAAAGCTAGTTCCTTCTCTTTCTTAAGAAAAAAAATGGGTAACTCTTTGTTTTTCACTAGCGAACTTTCCCGCTATTTCCTCACTCTTTCTAGGTAGTGTTATTAATGCAATGCATATGATAGTTATCGATACAGCATAAGATTTCACGAACTGCAATGGTCCACCCACGTAATGAACTGAGATGATCCACCTCATTATGTGAGTCCGTCCAGAGGATGTTCCTGTTCCGGGTGGGCCAATGTTCTGTATCAGTTACACTAACTTTTGTTTAAAATATTTATTCTAAAATGCCTCTGAGAAATAGTAAAAAAAAAAAAATTAAAAATAAGTTGTCTAAAATGCAACAGCTTTTATAGTCAATGTACATTTATAAATAAAATACTCAATCTACTTCGTATTTCATTCATTATTTTTGGAGGGGTGGGAGTTGGTTTTATCACTCAGGGAGGAGAGAATCAAGCTCTAGCTCTCTTGTTTTTTTGGTCCAGGATTGCCCAGTCAGATGATGGTGCTGATGCATACAGCTTGTTAGAGGCGTCACGGAGGAGTTGGCTTCCAGGGCAGGATTTAAGCTCCTTGAGATGAGACACACAGTAATCAGAAGGGGCCTTGCAAATGTCTGTGGAAATTGTCTGAAAAATCAAATCATGGTGCACCTGCAGCTCAGGACAGAGAAAACCAGGGCCAGCCCTCGGAAGTCCCTGCATCCTTCACCTCCCCCCCCACCCCCGCAATGCCCCTTGCTGCCCACTCATTATATACAGACGGTCTGTTTCACAAAGGGCTTTTTTCTCACCTGTAGAACCAGGGAAAGTGCTGTGAGACAGTGGCACCCCACCGAGACTGTTGGCTTTTTCTAAGTACACATGGAGACGGTATGTGCAGATATGGGGGTGAGGAGAGAGAAGGGAGGTGTCAGGCTTTCTTTAACAACCAGCTCTTCGGAAAACCAATAGGAGAACTCACTCACCAAAAGGAGGGCATTAATTTATTCATGAGAGCTCCACTCCCATGACCCAAACACCTGCCATTAGGCGCCATTCCAACGCTGGGGATCAAATTTCAATATAAGGTTTGGAGGGCACAAAAATCTAAATCATAGCAGCATTCCACTTTCTCCTCTTGGGGGTTGATATTTTTCCTCTAGAAAGAAAAAAAAGAATTCTCCCTTGTGTCATGGCTTTGGACATTGGTATTTGCTGGCGTGGAGGCTGAGGAGTCTGCCCATGCCAACTGCACTCCCAACACACCACCTTCAGATCTCCCTCCTGCTACCCATGTCTGTCCCCATAATTGGGAAAAACTAGCCCTGCCTGATACATAACACATGTTCCAGCCTAGCTTTTCTTTCATAGCTGAATCTTAGCTTCTTCAACCCAACAGCCAAGACTGAAGAAAAGAAGAACCTCTTTCTAATCACCCTGCTGGGGAGATTCATGTATCACAATAATTTTTTTTTTTTGTTTTATTTTTTAGAGCCAGGGTCTCGCTCTTTCTCAGGCTGGTCTCGAACACCTGAGGTCAGGGGATCCACCTGCCTCAGCCTCCCAAGTTTTGGGATTACAGTCGTGAGCCGCGGCCCGGCCATGTATCACAATATTATTTCACTGCAGACCGGCTCATTGATACATGAATCAGGGCACTCCAGTGTTTCCGCAGGAATAATGACATTGCCCACGAAGGTCTGTGTTCTTTATTGTTCACCAGGTAGGAAGGGGAATTGTTTTGTATAAATTCTAGAATAAGTTTATAAAATTTCTCTGAAATGCTTCCTGGAAATTTGATCAAAATTGAATTTATAGTCTATTTTTTTTCTGATTGAGATCGCAGTGTAGTATACAAGAATACTACCAATTTCTTCATGTTAATCTTGGACCCAGAAACTTTGCTGGACTCTTTTATTAGTTCTAATACACTGCTTATCCTTCCTCCTAAATCTTCCATGTCAATCAGCATCTTCAAAAAAAGAATTTTTTTTTTTTTTGAGACAGAGTCTCACTTTCTCAACCTCAGTAGAGTGCTGTAGCGTCATAGCTCACAGCAACCTCAAACACTTGGTCTCAAGCGATTCTCTTGTCTCAGCCTCCCAAGTAGCTGGGACTACAGGAACCTGCCACATCGCCCAGCTACTTTTAGAGACAGGGTGTCGCTCTTGCTCAGGCTAGTCTCAAACCTGTGAGCTCAGGCAATCCACCCATCTTGGTCTCCTAGAGTGCTAGGATTACAAGTGTGAGCCACCACGCCCAGTCTTAAAACGATTATTTTTGTCTCTTTTTTTTTTTCAGTTATGTTCTTTTTTCTTTCCTTTTTGAAACAGAGTCTCACCCTGGGTAGAGTGCTGTAGCATCACAGCTCACAGCAACCTCCAACTCCTGGGCTTAAGCGATTCTCTTGCTTCAGCCTCCCGAGTAGCTCGAACTACAGGCACCTGCCACAACCCCCGACTTTTTTTTGGGTTGTAGTTATCATTGTTTGGCAGGCCCAGGCTGGATTCGAACACGCCAGCTCTGGCATATATGGTTGGCGCCTTAGCTGCTTGAGCTACAGGTATCACCCGTTATGTTATTTTTTCTTCAGATCACATTGTAAATGGTGATAATGGGCACCCTTGCCTCATTATAAATTTTATAGGCAAAAATCGGAAAACATCCCAAATGTCTAACAATAGAGAAATAGTTGTAAAAATTATGGTATATCCTTATAATAACATCCTGCCATCGGAAAATTGCATTTTTTAAAGCATTAAATTTTAATTATTAAAATACCCATAAAAAGATACCATTATAGTTTTTAAAAACTCTGGTATCAAACTATATTAATACGATTCAAGTTTTATAAGTAAAAGCCATTATATATGAGTAAATTACATATCATGTTTCTATTATCGTTGTAACTCAAGTGTCTCTGGTGTTCAAGACTCACAGCCTTGAGCTTTTCCATAACATCCAAATATAAGTCCAGGGCCCATTCTACAGGACTACAGGAAATCCACCCTTCTCTGCAGTTATTTCTGATCTTCAGATCGCCTGGTTTTCGTTTTCTGCATTTCTGGCCTAACTGCTGCCCCCAGCAGCTGCTGCAGGCACGTTTGCCTCAGTCTTCATTCATTCCTTCCTCTGCTGTTCTCTCTCTGCTCAGTCCACATCAGCCCCAGATGTGGATACAACCCACCATTCTTTATTCTCCAGAGACCACCTGCCAGAGGCCTCTCGTGGCTTAATAAATTTACCTGTGGCTTGAGGATAGCACAGCCAAATTACAAGGCAGGAAAGAATAACATCAAGTTGAAAGTCATGTATCATTGCTCTTAAAATCCATCGGCCACGCCTGTTCACAGGGCATCATGACCTTCCTTCCTCCTTAGCTCCTGGCCTCGAGCCTGTGGCCATGTGGAAAGACACAACTAGAGCTTTCTCTTCTGGAAACTTCCCCTCACCCCACCGCCCCTGCTCCTAGGAGAGTAGGACCCTTGTATATGAACAGGCTGAAGGGATCAGAATCGAGTCAGCTGACATCACAGTGATCCCTCAGGGCTGCTTTCAGCCCCTAGTGAAGGTGGTAGCCTTGATATTACTGAATACCTTAGTTAATACCTCATTCTAAGGAAGAACACAGATTCTGGAGTTGGGATGTCACAGTACAGATCCCAACTTCACCACTTACCAGTTAGGACACTGAGCTGTTGTTTATCTTCTCTGCCTCGGTTTCCTCACCTGCAAAATGGGGGTAACCATAGTACGTACCACTTAGAGCTATTGTGAGGATGCGATAGAACAACGCATTCAAAACAGGACGTATTCTACATAAAGAAAATGTTAGCTGCTCCTATGGGCATTAGCATGTATTCGAGCTAGCAGTAATATAGTCATAGTGGAAGCAGCAGAACTTCACAACATCCAGGGATATCACAGGGAAAAAAGAGTCTTGCTTAACCTAGATGGCTTTACCAGAGCGTCTCTTAGAAGAGAAAGTCTACCCCAAACTAAATTCTAGCCCACAGCGTTAGGGCTACACAGAGTTTAGAAATATTCTCAGGACATGCTGCCAAGTAACTATATACTAACCTGAAAAGAAAGAAAATATTAAAACAGATGGATCAAAATCTTGGCAGCAGTTATTTCTGATTCACGCAATTACGAGTTGTTTATCTGCACACCTTGATGTGTGTTTTATCCACACTGCCCATTCCCGTGGCTTTTGTAACAGAGAAAAAGAGTAACCTTATAAAAGAGAGAAGAAAAGCCCTCTTTTCCATCCACCACGGATTAAAAATTTGATTATCAAAATTCTGTAATGAAATATAGTCTAGGCTTGACTGGAGAGAACGTGGATTTGGGTATTCAGAGCCTGGCCCTGTACAGCCAGGTCGGGGCTCAGCTGCACCCCTTAGTGTATCTAATTAGAGTTTTGCTCCCAGGGGGCTGAGTCAGCTCTTACCCTGAACTGGTAGCTGACAGCAGACCCCCATCTCCGTCTGCAGTTTACTTGGGTAGTGTTGTCCTGGGCGTAAGAGTGAGTCAAGAAAAGAGCTTCAGGCAAATTTGCCGTCAGTTGTCTAAAACCACAAATTTACCGCCTTCCAGGCTAGTCCGCGTGTCCACACACAGAGAAGAATGGCCTTGACTATGGAAAAAGGAATCAAGTTAGAGCAGATCGGCAAATGTCCTCTGCCTAGAAAACATCAGATCAATCAGAGGCGTCAAACGTTCCTGAAGAAAGTCACCTTGGGGCCTTTTTGCCGTCTTGCTACTGCTTGAAAGAAAAACGGCACAGCTTTGCTTACTAGATTTTTTCCCTTGAAGAAATCCTAGGAAGACTTAACACAAAACCTAACAAAGGCAAAGCAGATGATTAACGCGCAGAAAACGTGGTCATTTGACGGAGACGAGCATTTCCCAAGTGCGCTCCTCCTCAGGTCTGCTGTGTGCCAAGCTCCTCAACGGGAGGGTCCCCCGTTCACGCTCGTCCCCCGTTCACACTCGTCCCCCGTTCACACTCGTGTAGAAAGCGCCATGTATCCTTTCCTGAGAGAGACAGAAGCCACATCAAAGGCCTGTCCCACTCGGCAGTACTCTGCTTACATGTGTTAAACACTCATTTTTCTAAATATATTTCAGCAAGAAACTCTGATTTCATACTCTTCTCAACATCTTCCAGGACTTGGGTTCCACAGAACATACTGAGAAACCCTGATTGCATAATTCATCTGTTTGGGAAACCACACAAATGCCTCCGTGGCGTTCAGATGTGCTTTTCAATTCTCAGACTATCGTGTTTTTATTGGTGTAAATGTAAGGGGTGCAAGTGCCATTTTGTTACACAGATACATCGCATGGTTGGGGTAGTTTCAGCTTTGGTGTCATTGATCTTCATACTCTTCATCCAGAATT